GTGACAGGACGATTCGATCCACACGTCGGCCAGATACCGTTGGACGGGAATAGGGATAGTCCTGAGGTGAGCCAAGAGCGTAGCTACAATCTTCGCGAGGGCTCTGGACTGGCAATGCTGCTTCGCGTTGCATATCCATAGAAACCGTTGGTGAGTCGCCAATATAGGAATGCGTAGGTATGCTTCGGTGAGATCTATTTAAGTCAGGATGTCGCCCACCCGGATGCCCTTCATGGATTGGATTTTGAACTTCTTGTATACCAGACGCTTGTTGAGTCATATTAGGTGGACAATAGCTCTCCATCTCCTCGAAACCTTGGGGACTACAATCCCTAGTTGCCGCTGGTCCTCTGGAGGCTTGGCTCTGAAGACCTCTGGAGGAGCGAGGGGAGGACTGACTTCGGTTGCCTCGAACTGGCTGTTTGGATTGGAACTGCTTCCTGCTCCTGTCTCCATATCCGGACCTATCTGGTCGCTGCGAGAATGCCCTCTGCGGTTGTGAGTTGTCGCCAGCGGTGTCCGCTGCCCTGAAGGAAGCCTTCCGAGAGTAGGGCAAGGATCTCTGACCAGCGCGTTTGGAGATAGAGGGTAGGACTTTCTTCTTGTCTTTGGTCTCTATGAGTAAAGGCTCCAAGACCTCTCCGAACAGCTTGTCTCCTTTGAAGGGCGAACAGGCCAACTTCCACTTCAACCTCATGTCCGACTGCCAGTAACGGAGCCACAGCAGCCGCCTGGTTGTCACGGAAGAGCCGATGGCCCTGGACGCGAACTTAGCCGTATTCAGGGTGGCATCTGCAGAGAATTCTGCCGCCGCTATCAGGTTGTTGAGGTCCTGGTGAGACTGGTGGTCGGTGGCTGGGATTCTGGCTTGCATCTCTTTGAGCCAGAGCAAGGAAATTCTATTGAAGAAGGAAGCAGCCACCGCTGAGTTAACCGTCCAGGCAGCCGACTGATGGGCTCTGCGGAGCATCAGTTCTGTATTCCTATCTTCTGCTTTCAAATTATTGGCGGCCTCATTGTACAGAGCGGGGGAGGAGGCTAAGGCCGCCACGGGCCCATCGACTGTCGGTATTTTTAATGCCGCCGCGAGCTTCGGGCCCACATTGTAGAGCCGTTTGTCAATCTCGTCTGGGGGTTGACGGGCCCCTGGTACGGCCCATTGTCGATCGACGACATCCAGGAAAAACTTTGGGCAGGGGATCTCCTCCTTGTCTGTGACGGGCTCTGAGAACAACAAATTATGGGGGTCAGATAAGGCTGGATCTGAGGTGGCTGGATCCGCTTCTATCCCAGCGGTGGCCTTGGCGTTCTGGAGAAGCGTCTTAAACAAGGCAGGGCTGAAGAGACCTACGAAGCCTTGGGCATCTGGACTCCCTTCATTGTCCTCAGACGGTGGCAATTCTTTAGCTCCCATAACGACCGAAGGGGCTTCTTGGATGCTCATGGAAGAAGGAGGAGCCTGTCCCTGGCATAAGGCGTTGGCGGACACCGCTGGGCGGTGTTGTTGGATGCCTGCGGCAATGCCCTGAGCGATGGCCTCTGAGATGATCCGTCTCATCTCCGGGGTCATTTCCGGCTCCGGGCTCTCTGGAGAAGGGACGGCAGCCTCCGGGGTGGCAGACTTTGCCCTCTTAGCAGCCGGCTCCTCCGAAGGACTTTCCGGTGGAAGCGGAGTCGAAGCAGAAGGAAGGGATGAAGGCTGCGCGGACTGGGAAGCGCTGCAAGCGGCAGCTCCGTCCACAAGGGGGCGCTCCTGCTCCTTTCCCCCTGCGGTGCCTACTGGGTCTAAAGCCTTTGGGGGAATTTGGATGGCCTTCTTTGTGGCCTTCTTAGCGGGCAGTGCCTTCTTAGTGGGCAGCACCTTCTTAGCAAGCGGCGCCTTGGCCCGGGTCTTCGGCAAGGCTCTGGCCGGGACCAGCTTGGGCGTGGAGGGGGATCCCATGCCCACGCCAGGCTTGGG